CACACACACACACACACACACACACACACACACACACACACACACACCTTCTAAGAAGAGCTGGCTGCAGTTCCTCAAGCTCCCACAGATGAAGCAGGTGTTTAGGTCTCACTTCAACTGTATCAGAGGACGCCTAGCTTCTCCTCACACTCTGGCTTGAGGCCTTTGAAGTGAAGGCTATAGACTGATGTCTATGCTCCTTTGGTTTTCCTGGGCTTTTTTCTAAGGAAATAAAATACTTTAGGATCCCAAACTAAATCTTTTCAAATGCTCTGACATGCTGGTAGAGGATGATGAAGACACAAGACACAGTCTTTTGAAAATGAAGGGGAAATTGGATGACAGAGAAATGAAAACTTGTCTCATCATCAGATGATAGACTGCCTTATAGTACCCTTGTTTTCCTTTCTTTAAACAGTTAATTTGCAAGTGTGTATGTATGTGTAGTGTGCATGTGTGTGCATATACGTGTATGTGGGTACAAGTGTGTGTGAAGGCTCATGTGTGTCATGTGTGCATACATGTGAAGGCCCGAGCTTGAACAGAGATGTCCTCCTTTGTCACAGGCCAGATTCATGCTGAACCTGGAGTTCCTGATCTGGCTAGTCTAGCTGGCCAGCTTGCCTAAGGCATCCCTACTCCACCTCCCAAATGCTCGGCCACTTGGCTTTTTATTTAGGTTCTGGGGATCTTAACTCCATCTTCATGCTTGTGCAGCTAGTGTTTTATCCACTCAGCCATTCCCACAGCCCCATTTTAAATATCTAATTAAAAACATCCATTTGTGTGCTTTGTTGACATTATTACGAGTTTTGTTTTTAAAACATTTTTGCACTTAAGAGCACAAGTTTTCCATTCAGAAAGGTTTTGAAAAGTTCAGCTGTCTGACTCATGCCCTTCTCTTTAGCTGTGACTTGAGCACATTCCTTAGCCTTTCCGAGACTCACCTTTGTCATCTGTAAAATGGGGATAACAATTTCCACATAATTAGTAATAAAGTGGGTGAAAACTTAGTCTATGCTCTTCAGAAGAAGAACTTTTGGAAGGAATAAATTAAGGACAAATGGGGCCATAAGGTAAGATGCCAATCCAATGAGACCTTGCCTTTGTAGGAAGATGAGAGACCCAAGCTTCAGTGAAACTCAGAGAAACCAGTATTTGCAAGGCACTCAGCATGGTGCCTGGCAAGCAAAAGTTCATGGCTGCAGCCTGTTATCCTTAGTGGAACGACGCCGGGCATCCACAGCCTTGCCTGTTCTGAGCAGTATAATTAAGACTCAGTTACAGCTCAGGAAGCTGGATGCTGCCCAACCTTGTACCTTAACTGATTAAGAAAAAATTAAAAAGTAAAATAAAATCCTCAGTTCTGGCTCTGGCTAGAATGGTTGGGAGAATCTATTCAATGTCAGGCCAGACTGGTTTGCTCATGTGGAAGTTGGAAGGGAGGTGACAGGGTGGGTGCAGGCAGGATCACTGCCTGGCTGCATCTCCAGCCTCCACAAGCCCTGGGGAGGTCAGGCATACATTTGCTCAGCAGTATGGCCTGAGGACTTCACAGGTGCAGGTACCAAACAATGTGGTGAATACAAGGATATTACAGTGATCCAGGAAAAGAAATCCCTTTCCTAGAGGATGCTGGCCCCATAGATAGTACAGGAAAAAAGCAACCCTGTGCCCAGCCAACACATTGATTGGTCCACAAGGACAATCTATTGTGACAAAAAGCAAAAGGACCCTCCATGGCAGGACAACATAAGTTGGGACAAAGAGAACGAGTCTAAAGGTTCTTCAGTATGAAAAATTTTTTTTTCACTGCTTTTAGCTGCTTAAACTTGAACTTCCTAGTCTGTGGAATCCAAGAGCATGGTGAATCGGCCAGACCAGTCCTCTTGCTGACTCCACACTCAGAGCTTCAGAACTAGGACCCATGTCCTACTTCCCATGCCTCACCTTCAGAGCTCAGCTGTAATTTCATTTTCTCTGATCACTCTGCAGATCAGTCACCCTGGCTCATTTACTCCTGCACACCCTTCCAACAGCATAGAGCCAATGTGTGGCAGATGCTCCACTGCCTAGCCATGGAGGTGAATAAATAATATTTATGATGGTTTTCCAACACCCTAGCCAAATGTTCCCTTAGACTTGTTTCAGTATTCCTAGGGACCAAGTTCCACACTCCCGAGGCATCCATTGGTTTGCAGCAGCATCCTTTGGGAGTTCACTGTGTTGATTAGTAGACCTTGCCTCCTGACCTACGCTGCCTCACTCTGCCTGAGTCTTTGACCCCTCTATCACACAGTCTGTCTGATCTTTTTCATAGAGAATGAAGCCTCAGATGTTTAAACCATTTTGTGAAAGAGATGA